CTACTACTACTTCTAGTTCTACTTCTACTTCTACTACTAGTTCTACTTCTACTTCTACTTCTACTGCTACTGCTACTGCTACTGCTGCTGCTGCTGCTACTGCTGCTGCTGCTGCTGCTGGTGCTACTTCTACTGCTTCTACTGCTACTGCTGTTGCTGCTGCTGCTGCTGCTGCTGCTGCTGCTGCGGCTGTTGCATTTCTACTGTTATTGCTGCTACGACTACTGCCACCACAACTACGACGACGACGACTACTACTACAGCTTCTCCGGCGGCTGCTGCTGCTGCAGCTGCTGCTGCGGTTAAACACAACCCCGAAGCACACGCGATGGTGGCAGTCGTGTCAGTGCCAGTGAAGAACATGTTGTGAATGATGGTCATGGTGACTCTCATTGCCATGATGACGATGGCAGCGGGAGTGGTGTGTTTGAACTAGACACCAGCTTCAGAAACCTAACTCGTCATATAGGACAGAGTGATCATGATTGGTAGTCCCTTGTTTTGAGTCGAACTCGTTGAGAATCCAGCTGCTCTCAGGCAATGTACGCAGAGTCGGCCCCGCAACCACAAGGCCTACACCTAGACTCGACCTTGAAGCCCCACTATGCCGTTCTATGAGCCCTCAAAAACACTCCTGTTGGTTTTCCGAGCTCAGAAAATATCATGTAAAGCGACAGCCATCTCGGATATCCCGGATTCGATGGGAAGGTTCCGGCCTCTACGACTTCCACGGCGAGCAAGTGAGGGTTTCGTAGAGTTTCGGGCAGTGGGGGAGAAGCTGCAGAACCCCAAACCCGCAACACCCAAGTCTTCAGGAAATCCTACACCTGTTCAAGATCCTCTTTAGGTCGCAACCTGTCATGCGACATGGTTTACCATTCTAAAGCCGACCCGCAACCAGCACTCTAAACCCGAGAACTGTACACAAGCTCCTAGCTTGGTGACACCTCGGCTCATGACTGCCCTGCACCGTAAGCCCTAAATCCGGCTTTGAAAGAGGGCTGACTTGCAGATTCGGGGCGGCGGAGGGGTCTCAAGGCTTTTGGGTAGTCAGCATCCCCAAACCTGGTACCGTTGCCCATGAACCCTAAAGCCTTAGAGGTTAAGGGCGTCGTCCGGTGTGCTGGGGTTGGATTCATGTATTCTTTATAGGGCAGCTGGTCCGGGGTGTAGGTGACGGTTTGAATCTCCCGGTTTGGCAAAGAGCTGAGGGTATCTCAAGGACGCAGGTGCGAGTGCAGGAAGGCCGGCTTGTCGCTGCAAGTCGCCCGTGACGTAACCCCGAAGCCCCACCCTGAGCCTTAAAAATCCGGAAAGGTTCCCCACAAGCATCCCAACTCCTCGGTCGAAGGATCTCAGGAGTGCTCTGATGCTTGGTAAACCTTTGGAGTTATTCAAGCTCCCTGAAGACTCCGGCAAGCCGGAACTGTAAGCAGCCGAAGCAGTAATGGGGCTGTAGGCTCCCGAAACACTAGGGTCCCCAAACTTCAAAGCCCTAAACCCCTGAAGCCTAAACCTCGAGACCTCGCTGGCGACCCACTTCTGAGAAGCCGCCAGACTCGCAGGAGTATCATTTGCCATAAAACACACGAGCAGGGTCCAGGGTTTAGGGCCGGGGAGAGTGGGGGGCTAATGGTTTTGGGTGGGGTCGAGTGTTTGGGGTTTGAAGTCCTGTGGTGGCCGGAAGTACCCTCAACTTCTTGGGGCTGTGCCCACTGAACGCTCACAGAAATCCATTCTACAGGTTTTGGGGCGACCTTTGCCAAACCTCAGTGCTCGGGTGCCAAACCCCCCAACTCGAACCCGTAATGCAAACCCTAAACTCTCCATCCGGGTGAGGCTTTAGGATCTGGGGGTTGTGGGGCTGCGCGGCAACAACTTTAGCAAGAGGTCAAGGCTGTGGCAGCCCTTACATAAATCCTGTACCCTGATCCCATACCCTAAGTCCATAGCCCTAACAGCTCGAAGTAAGCCATAAACCTGCCAAGTTGGTAGCCTTGAGTTTTTCAATCGCAGGACAAGCTGTGTTGCTATCCCTTTGTCAAGGTTCACCTTGACACTCCAAACCTGCGCCACTTCGGCTGCAACAGCAGGGTTCAAGCTTCCTTTCCAAACCATCATGGTTTGCCCCTACCTCGAGCCTATAAGTCTTGAACCTTTCAGCGCGTCAAGCCATCGAAACCAAGGCCCGCAGCAAACCCCCGACCCCCCCACCTTCCACCAGTCAAGGTAGTTTAGGGCTTGCTTTGGAGCTCGTGGTGTATGCTAACTGAAGCCCGATATGCTGTAATGCTGTATTATTCACGAACTTTGGTTTACACATTTACACCCGAAACATGTCAAGTAAGTCCTCAAACGGCTCATTTCTAAACCCCAGACCTTGAGTCCTTCAGAGCCATGGGCTGCACGCCGACTCGGCAATGAAAGCCATAACCTCGGAGATTCGCCCGTGCGTGAAGGGATGGCTGTTTCCTTTGACCGCCTAAGTCTTTGCGTTTCGTCGTTTGCAGTCTAGTTTCCCAGAGACCTGTCTTGACAAACCCCTTTCTTTCAGGGCTTGAATACGTGGACCCTAGGATGATGCCTGCCAATGGAAGATGGTTTACTAATACTTGTGGGCACCAGAGGAGTGCAAGGTAGGGTTCGTGCTAAGATTGAGGGTTAAGGATCCAAGGAGCTTTAGGGTCTCCTGGGATATAGAGCTGTGGGGTTCGGCATGCAAGGATTCAGGGTTATGGGCTTGCAGCGATGTAGGATTTAGGGATGTATGTCGAGTTTCATGTTTATTAGAGAAGTGTGTGTATATATAAATATGTAATATGAGTATATATATATATATATATATTAGTTAGTTAGCCCATGCAAAGGACACCACAGCACGAAACTACCATCCAGCAACTTACGCAACAGCCCCTTTGCCACATGGCTTTCGAAGATGCCAGTCGGGGCCCTTTCAGCCATACGGTTCCAAGTAGACCTCAGACATCCTTAGACCCTAGCCTCCCTAGGCTCCTAGACTGGGCGTGGAGGTGTGAGGGTTCTCGGTTTTAGAGCCACGGATGCTCCCAGCGAGGCGAGACAAACTCCGCCCCTTTGCGACAGTTCAGGCTGGATAGCAACAAAGGAATAGCAGCAGTACGCAGCACGACAATGACAAGCAGGGTTTTCGGATTAGGAAAGTGCGACTAGAGGCACAGTGAGCCACAGCCACGGATGGTCTGGTAGAATGGGAGCATGGTCTGGTGCTGGAAAATGCGGTGAGCTCAAGAAACATGTAATCTCATTACCTTCGGATTCGGCTTGAGCATTTAACGTTGACCCCTTTTCTTTACGGGCCTTAATATTGGATCCCCATTACCCTTTTTAAGGGAAGGCTATATCATATACATATATATATATATATATATATTATATATATATGGCTTAGTTAGAGTAGCTTTGGTTGCTGCCATGGCGGACAGTGGCTCGGTGCCAGCTACGTCAGCCACAGAGGCTACTGGGCGGAATACTCAACCCTAAGCTCGTAGCCCATGCTGAAACCGGAAGCCTTAAATCCGTTTATGCCAACGCTTGAACCTTAAGTCCTTCGGAGCCGCATTTGATGGCAGTCGCGGGCCAGAATCCACGGAAGTGTCCCTACAGCACCCTACCCGCAAGCTGGTATGTGCCTAAGTGTTCTCATATGATGCCCATGCATCAAATTGCGTCAGTTTGTCTGTCTGTCTGGCTAGCTATCCGCATGCGTGGATACACGGATACACATCCACGTCGTGCCATCAGTGTTTTTGTGTTTTTGAGGTCCATGAGTTCCTACATATAGTATATAGTATCCATCTATCAATTTACGTGTCCCTCCGTCTGCCTGTTTGTCTGTCTGTCTGTCTGTCTGTCTGTCTATCTATCTATCTATCTCTCTCTCTCTCTCTCTGTCCTTCTGTCTGTCTGTCTATCTATATATCTGTCTGTCTATCTATCTATCTATCTATCTATCTGTCCATCTATCTATCTATCTCTCTCTATCTCTCTATCTCTCTCTCTCTCTCTCCATCTCTCTCTCTATCTGTCTCTCTATCTGTCTCTGTCTCTCTCTCACTACTGCATCTCTGTCTTTCTCTCTCTCTCTCTCTCTCTATCTATCCATCTATCTATCTACCTATCCGTNNTCTACCTACCTATCTATCTGTCTATCATTATCTATCTATCTGGTTACGTTTATGTTGAGTCGCTTGTTTGTCTGCGTGGAGTGCTCAGAATGTCCGCCTTGTTCCATGAGTCAACCAAATATTAGGTCAACATGTACACTTCGTATTTAGACGACAACCTGTTGGTTGATCTCATTTTAGCGTTCGAGCGAGTCTAGAAACCAAAGGCACATGCACAGGTGTCTTTTAATGCGTGACAGCTGGCATTTGGCATTGTAGGGTTTGTTAGGGGTAGGGGGGGGGGGGGGGGGGGNNAGGCGGGTTAAGCCCAAGACCCTCTACCCATCCAAGGCCTCACGATGCACCAACCATCGATGATTCAGGTTCGGCTTTCGGGTCAGGATATCTCAGGGTTTAGGATCCTGCATCAATCTTTCCACAGCTTTGACAACCCTAGTTTCGTGCTAAGACGACGCCGGTGGCAGCCGAGACGACCGAAAGGCATTCCGTGTCTGAGCCGTTGATGTCTTGCTTCTAACAGGCGCTATACCTGGAGTTACGGTTGAACGATTGCGGTTTCGGGCGGAGAGTTACGTCTTAAACCCTGGCCGGGGGCAGGTTCCAACGGCACAGGCCTGGCCTAAACTTCAGGCGCCTGTGATCATGATCTAATGAGCTGGGTTGGCTTCAAGAGTTCAAAACTTGTCGGGCTCTCTACAAGGTCTCCAGCGACTTACGGTTTGTTCCATCGCCCGCTCCTTCTATGAGGGCACACCCATATTCCACATGGTGTGGAGGAAGCCTAGTAACTATTCGAAGTGTTTTGGGTTAGGGTGCCGGGACTTCGCAGCCTTAGATAATTAAAAGACGTTCGGTCAAGCCCCCTTCAAGCTCTGATCATGGTCACTATTCGAGCTGCAGCGCTTAGGGTTCATGGTATAGCGCTGGCTTTGGGGTTGTGGGGTTTCAGGGTTTAGGACAGGGTTTATCAGATGCGCGGTGCGAGACTTGGATTAGCGGGATAATGTTTTACTTGGGCTCTGCGGATTCTTATCAAAAAGCGGCAACTGCATCTGGGGAATTCAAGGCGCTGATGCCTAAGGGCTGGAGTAGAAACCAGGGCTCGCCAGGATCAGGCCTACTACCCTCGTAACAGCGGCCGTGATAGGCTGGCGCACTCAGCAGTAGACCGCCCTGCTTCTTCAGCGCCTGTGAGGCAGATTTCTGGCAGCGAGCAGCCTGCAGCAGCCACTGTCCCTGCCGAGTCTTGTCGGAACACTGCCTACGGTGTTCCTCAGATACCATGACTCTCTTCGGAGCTCTTTCATCTTTCGTGCTCGAAGAACACGGGAGGACAATCAAGCCCACCTGTAGCAAGTCTCCAACTAAGCAGCAGCAACTCCACGACTATTGTAGTGGTTCCAACTACACTTGCACGGCGGCAAGCGTGGTGATGTCTATGGTATGTTGAGCCTCGCCGGGGCATCCAAGGGGTACAAACAAAGAACACTATTGTGACTTCAGCGAAATGGGCCTTCGTGTGCAACATATCTGTGAAATTATGCGAGGCTTCAGATTTTGCTGGCCGGGGGAAGCTTCTGCTGGTATTGCAGCTGTCAGGTGAAAGAAACGAGGGAGCGAAAAGGGGAGGAATGGAGGGAGGCAGGGAGGGCCAGCGAGAACAAACAAAGAAGTGGCAAGATGAAGAGAGAACGACCAGACAGAAAAAGGCCAAGCATACTCGACAGATGTTGACAGCCGAATGCAGTTGGAAGACGACTTCACAGCATCGGATCAGCTACGGCAAGTAATCCCCAAAGCCAGAAACACGAAGACAGACAGCGAGGGAGCGAGAGAAGTAAAGAGAAGAGCCAAAGAACGAGGTGAGACATGGAGATCTGATATCTTGTAACGCGCAGTATACACCAGGAAGCAGGCCGGCAGTTCTATCGCAGATCTTCACCAGATTATCCCGCAACCCTGCCAGCAAGAGTTCAGGGTAGCGTTCGAACCCTGCACCTCTAATTCGAAGCCTCCGAGCATGCTCTATCGTACCTTAACGGGAATCTTAAAAGATTTTCACGCTGAAGTCAACTCCTTTCCTGAGGGCACAGGCGGCAGCGACACGGCTCCGGCACCGGTGACTGCGTACGGGACACGTGGCATCCTTGTTTGTTTGTGGGTGCCGGGTTGGAGGGGATAACATCCTGAGACTCCTAGTGCAAGCCCGCCTGTGCCTCACTGGCACTGAGACTAAGAATAGAGATTCAGAAGCGACGGTAGAAAAGGCTGTGATTCGGGATGATTAGTCCGTCTGGGCTCATACTTAGGGTGCAGGATATTAGGACGTTCTAGCGTCCTAGATGCAATTTGTTTGTTTTGCTGAAAGCTTTTGGCTCAGGGTTCAGAGCCACGTCGGGTGAAGGGTTCAGCCTAAAGTTTATTGAGCTGCTATAGCTATAGCCTTTCTTGTTGCAGAGTCGCCATGAATTCTGTCGGAATGGTGATAAGGCAAGGCTATGAGAACAGTCTGTCATCACAGTTGAACGTGCGCTTCTGGGCGCAGAGGGCATGGTCAGTTAAGGCTTCATTCATGTAGTCACGGCAGCAACCAGCAGATGGGTTGTCGATGAAGAGCTACATACAACTCTCCGGTGCACGAGGGCTCAGGTCTCTAAAGACGCATGTTGGGGAATGAAAGGACTGGGATGCACCGAGGACGGTTTCCGAGCTTGTCGAGATCACGAACTGCACGCAGCAGGTGCCGTTAGCTCAGTTTGGGGCTCAGGGCATACATACTCCAAAAACCAGACCGAACCCCGAAACTTTAGACCCTGAAATCCCAAAACGATGCCACTTCCATCAAGCAGGAAACAAACCGTTAGATGCTAATCATAATAGATAAATCACTTTTGGTACCATTCTCTAGAGTGCTTGAGGGTTACACTCCCCGAAACCTTCGAGAAGAAGCACAGAGTGAGCAGCAACGTGGTCAACCCTCGCTGTGCTCTGTAGTGAGGAGCCACCACCATGAGGTCATGTTGCAACCCTCCCCCTGAAGATCTGCTGACCCTGCACCTTGAAAAGCTTTCACTACCTGCTCAACGCGAAACCCCGAATGGTTCCCTAAGCCTTACGTCTGAAACCAGAGAACAAATCCCGAAAGGGCTCAGTGTCCGCAGGCTGCGCTGGAGGCCCTGAAAGCCTGCGAATACGACCTGACGAGGGCCTGCAACAAAATCTTCGCGGCCAGGGAAGCTGCCGGGCAGTGAAGAATTTCGAATGGACGGTTTACAGATTCAGGTTAGAAGTTTCGAGTTTAATTGCAAACGCTTCGCGACAACCGAACCGAGGAAATAAGGGTGAAGGAGGGGGGGAGGGGGGAAACAGAAGATTTCTGTAAAGCATTGTGACCGCTTCGGCCGGGGCCGAGGCGAATTCGTAGTCAGGGCTCAGGAGTAGGGTTTAGAATATCAAGAACTTGAAGGATTTCAGGCAGAAGAGGCATGTAAGGTTCCTGGATTCTGGCTCTCAGGGCTACCGGTTACCGCCGCAAAGGCTTTGACATGGGGTTCAGAGTGACGGCGCTCACAGGTCCTGCACGGGTTCTACGACCTTTTGACTTTGCAGGCTTTGGGTGAATTTGGAGGGGTCTGGGTCTTTGTGCTTTTGTGACTATACGGCCCAGGGCTCAAGGTAGAAGGCTGCTGCAAGGAGGTGGGAGCCAAAACAGCGCTTAAGGACTTAACTTAAGCAGGCACGGTGGGGTTTGAGGCTTTGGGCTCATGGCTATTAGCGTTCTGCAGCTCAGTGCACACGTTCCAGCAAACAGCAACTTCCATGAAGTTTGATGGGCCCAACAATTCGACTAAGGAAGCATCGCAAGTTCTGAGGCAGCGCGGTGTGGCCTCCCCAGCTTTGGGGTTCAAGAGAGACCGGGCTTAGATAGTCTTCATAGATGCCTGTCATTTTGTTTCAGTAGTTGTTATCGGGCATGTCGCAAGGCAATGTGGACTGTCTCATGGGTTTGGAGGTCTGGAGCTACGTCAGAGCAGTGGAATTGTATTGTGGTGTCTAGTTCTCATCATTCGCGGGCTCTGGATTGTGGCAGGAGGAATTATTCAACTAGTCAGACTCTTCGACACCTTTGCCCCGAGCTTGGAGGGTGTTCAGAAGTTCTCGTAGTGCTTTGTGGTTTGAGGTTTCATTTCGCTACATAGTACAAACTCGCCTGACTGTCACCCGCATCGCACAAGCTGTTCCACCTGTCTCTGGACAACTTTAATCCGATCGGGGTTTACGTGACATGGAAGCAGCTCATTCATATTCACTAACTTACCCTCACCGAAGCATTGCGAAGACATCCCACACGCAAGCCAGAATTAATCTGCTAGTGACCTGTCCTAAGCCCGTTTTACATGTGCAGCTGGGACGTACGCTTCGATTCAACCAAGCTGTATCAGTCCTTGTGGGAACTTTCATGACTGCTTGCTCAGGAGGGCCTCACTACGGCTCGATTGAGGTCATCATCCTAGGTAATTTCGTGTTCGGTGTAGCTGCTAATTATATACCCGCCATGCCTGATCAGAAAGGAAGCTGGCGCCATTGGTTTGCAGTAGGTGGACGGCTTCATCCACTTGAAGGTGCACTAGTATATTCGCAAGTTTTCGGTGTGCTGTTCGCGCCACCGGCCTTGAAGAGCCTCTTCTGGACGAATGCTGCCATCCAGCTAATGATCTTCCTGCCTGTCGTTCAACTCCCGATCCTGCTTACAGGCAAGATGCTGTATGTTGACATTGGCTGGCCTTCGGGACTTGTTGCGATTGGAGCGACCTCGCTTCTATTGGGTGCTGGGTTATGGGTTCGTAAATGCTTAATAGCTTCATGTTTCCTGCTACACGGGGGTCGCATGGCCTTGGGTGCGCTGGTGATGTTTGGCCAGTCCTCCAATTTCACCTATCGCTTTCAAGAAGATCTTCCGAGGTACCAGTATGCGAAGCATAAGTGGGTCAGCGTTGAGGGCATGTCCGAAGACACCTGGTGGCTGAAGATGCAGTTGGACTCCCTGGGCCAGGGAATCAGCAACATCATTATTCTTTGCGTGCCCGCTTTCCTGACAGCCAGCAATCCAGATTCGCAAATCTCTTGCCTTGAGTGGCTGGGCTTCGTCATTTGGGCCGCAGCCTGGATCTTTGAGAGTTTTGCAGATTTCCAGAAGATGCTGTTCTTGCAGGAGTGCAAGAAGCTCAAGAAGAGCGACGCTACATTGGGCCTTGCACCATTCGACAAATACTTCTTGTGGTCTTGGTGCCGCCATCCGAACTACTTCGGCGAGTGGTGTGCCTGGGTAGGTCTCGCACTAACTGCCTTCCCATCACTCCTGAATGAGAACGTTGTCCCAGAACAGCATGCTTTCCTCTTTCGCATCTATATGGTCGGCTTGATCATGCTGCCGCGAGTGCTATACGATTGCTTGGTGCACTGGACCGGTGCCGGCCCCGCCGAGCATTTCAGCGCCAAGAAGAGGGCGAGCTACCGAGAATACCAGGAGAAGGTACGTTGCTTTTTCCCTTTGTCCCTGCCAGGCATAGATAACCACATGCGGGCAGGATGGCCTACCTTCGAGCCAGCTTGACTACATCACACAGACCCGCGGAGCTGAAATGACAGTCCTGATGGGTTATTGGTAGAGGGCCGGACTCTGAATGGTGGAGGCAGCCCTCGGACCTGTGGGTTACGGTCTCATAAGACGAAAATCGACGAGTAGCCTGTTACCGCTCAGGCCCGCGTGGGAGATGTAAGGGCTTCTAGTTTCAATCTACAGTACAGCGGGATGGGTTCTCTTCCAGCCGCAAGGGCGCCCTCCATAGCAAAAGGACCAAATTCATGCTGAACGCAAGAACACCAGAGTCTTGCCGCACTGTTTGGCTCCCTAAGCCCTGTAGACTCCTAAACCCTAAACCCTAAACCCTAAACCCTAAACCCTATCAGAACCTATAAACCAACGAGAGAAGAGACTCTCTCGGACCCAGGTTCCAGCGCAGGCGCCCGTCGCAACCTTCGTCCCAGCGATGGAGCCTTGAGAGAATTGGAACTAATACTAGTACTAATACAAATACAACTACCAATAACAAGAGTTATTATTATCATGACTATTGTTATTACTACTACTATTACGATTACTATTACTATTATTATTACTATATTACTTTTATTAAGAGTTCAGACCCCACCGAGAGTGGCCTTTAGCAGATCCTGGTCTTGGGTTGCTAGACAGGGGTCTCTTGGCGAAGCTTCCAATGGGCCAAAGGCGTTTACGGTTTGGGGTTTGAAGTTTCTAGGGTTTGGGCCGAAATTTAGTGCTTTGGGGTCTCAAGTTGTGGGATTCCGGGATTATGAGATTAGCGGTTTAGCGCTTGTGCGCTTGAGGGTTTAGCGTCTGTGGGTTTGTGAGGGCGTGAAGATAAGCATAGTTGCATCAGAATTGCCTCTCTCCCGCTAGAACGCGTGGCCATTTGCAAGTGGGTTCGACAGATGACTTTATTTGCCTCGACTGCAACACAAGAGCTGCAGTGAAGGTCGGGATGTGGAATCACACGACCCACCAGTGACCACAAGGACATGATTGACTGATTAGACTGCGCGCAGTTACTTTTCGAAATCTGGGTCTGTTGCCCAAACCCCCGATATTGAACTAGACAGCCCTCATGCCGACCCTACACAAGCCAAACGATTGCACGGCACACCTAAGCAAACTGAATTGTGAAAGATGTCATCGTTGCCAAGGAGCCGCTAGAATGCCTCACAGAAGCCCAACACCCTTCGCCTGTCACCTGAGGGCACCGGTGGACTGCCCAACCTTGCCGGCACGGGCCTGGTACTCAGGGGTGAAAGCATCATGACCTCCATCTTCGAACCGTAGGGTTAATGGCTTGGATACCGCCATGATCATCACAACGACCATCATCGTCATCGCACGTTCGTGTTCGTTTTCATCGTCATGTTCAGCGCAGTCATTGCGTGCTCAGAGAGTGAGTGGGTGAGTGAGTGAGCGAGTGAGTGAGTGAGTTAGTGAGGCCCCTTGGCAAAAGGAGGGGACCCGCCTTCTCGGGGTGGAAACGGGGCGTAGGGCTCCGAAAACGTCATGGACATATGCGCGGCAGAGCAAGCAACCGGCATCACCTAAATCTCCATGAGCCCGCCCCCCCCAAGCCAGCAGGGGCAAGCTAGGGTTGGAAGCACACTTGGCAAGACAGCCCACTTCAGGGATCCAAAGCGGTTCCCGACATGATCCCTCATGAAGGTACTAAGCAAGTGACGACGGCACGAAGCTGAGACTCTCACGACTGCCACGTTACCAGGGACCACCTCGAGCCATGGCCACCTGCGATGTGGCAGCACTTCACAGTATGCCCTCCGCGCGACGGGACGGTGCCGAGGGCAGTGTGGCACCGTCCCCATCAAGCAGGGTGATTGCGTGCTCAGCATCATGTGGTGACCAGTGTAGTTGTATTCATCACCTTCATCGTCATCAACATGAGATCGCCTCCATGCTGGCAGTGCATCCAGCTTGAGAGCATACATGGCAAGCCCATGACGACGTCCATATCCAGTGTCCACGCCGCCAAATTTAAGTGACGCACTTGTTCGAACAATTATGGCCAGCCCATGGTGATGTTCATCCCACGTCGGCGGCCAATTTCCCAACCCGAATTGGCCCAGATACAGAGTATGGTACACACTACGGGGTTCTAACGATCGAGGTACAGTGACGGCGTTGGATAAGAAACTCCTGTATCGAGGCAGGGTACCCTGAATTTCTTATTTAGATAGCGCTCGGTTCAGCGTCATAAGTGATACCCGCCAGGTTTAGGGTACCCCGGATATGAATCTTCACCTCTACTGCTTGCCTGCGGTAAAGTTTTAAAAGGCTAAGCCTGTACCTTCTAACTTGAAGCTTTCCCGAAGCCCATAGTGGCGCAAATTTCAAGGCACTGTAACGTGTTTGGAGTCCTGCGTTTCTGGTCTTGGGGGGCAGCCTTTAAGAAATTGGATAAGAAATTGGGTTTCGGGGGTAGGGGACCCTGAATGTCTTATTTCCTTTTGCTCGGTTGTGGCAGATTCTATCACATGTTCGTCCAAATCCAGGGGCTGGATTTCTTATTCAATGTTTTCTTATTCAGTGCTGGCGCTGTAACGAGAATCGGTTACCGTGTGTGCGTGTGCGTGCCCGCGGTCTGCGCGGAAAAACGTTCCGCAGGATGCGGCTCCCGCAGTAGTGCGGTACTTACTTTGGCCCAAGTCCTTTTATTTGAAGAGGAGCCGTCTGGCGCCGTTCCCTGGAAAGTCAGACCCATTGTAAGTAAATTCCAACAGGTTGGTCACCTTTCGGCCTCGAAATCTCCGAATGCCGCCGATGCTTGGGAAATCATGTTGGCCGTCCTCCTGAATCCCGCCGGTGGTTAGCTGGAAAGGGAAGCCATGTGGTGGTCCGCCAGTTCTTGGCGGGAAGCTATTGGGCCGTGGTGTCCTGGTCGTCTCTTGATGGTTTGTGGGCTCCTTGCGGTCACCTCGTGGTATTTTGGGGTCTTCCGATGGTTTTTGGCTGTTCTGCTGCGGTCTCCCGTCTCTAGGTGGTGTCCTGGTCCTGGTGGTCGTGGTTGTCTTGTCATGGTCGTCGCAGTGTTCTATCACCGTTTGGGGATCAGTGCTGGCATCATTTAAAGACACCTGTCTTGGAAATCATCCCCGCATTATAGTCATTTGGGCCTGCTCTGCTCCCCAACCTGCAAATACAATTTAAAGCTAGCGCGCAGCAGAAAGCAACCTCCCATGTAGTATAGTTTTCAGGGTGCCAGGTTTCAAAACCGGTGGCCCAGGTGTGGCAGCCCCTCTTCTAGCACCGACGACCGCGACGGTACCAGGCGGCATGTTTCACGTGACTACATAGTAGTCAAGGATGTATAGTTTTTAACCATCCAGGGAATCATAATCCCAGATGACCCCCGCATAGTCCAGCAAGGTTGACCTTGGGCTACCCAAGGACACGGTGTAAGTAGAATTATACCGTACAACTTACAACATTCCCTACTTAGAACCTAAACGTCCGTCGGGCTTGAGTTGTTTTGCCGAGAGGTGGTTTAGATAGTGGTTTGGATTGAATGTTTATGACGTGACGGTGTTTGGGTGGCATGATGTGGTTATGCTGTTGATGTGAGGTTGTCTCATGGGTTGTCATGATGTTGCATGTCATAGGTTCTCGTGAGGTTGTTTCTTTTTATACCTGATTCTACATCTTTTACGCGCGGGTCAGGGCTGGTGAGAGCTGCAGTGCATCACCAAGGTGGTTCCGCGCGTGTGGTGCCGTGACGATTCGTGCGCGGATTTGAAGAGCAATGTGGTGCCGCCACGCCGCCGTGCCGTGACAATTCGTGTTCCGCTTTGCCGACCGTCTCGGCGACGCCGGCGTGTACGCATCCTGTGGGAAGTGCGAACCATTTTGTTGTAAATTCCAATATATACATCATACGTCTCCGCGTCCGGTTAGCATGATCCATTGTAATTCCAACAGAATGGCCTCACTTTGTTCTCGAAATCACAACGCTTTCGGCGGAGGAAGCATTTTGGTCGGGTCTCTTAATCCCACCCGTGCATTGCGGCAAGCATTTTCGCGGTTTTCTTAATTCACGCCTGGAACGGACGGGTGCATGAATGGAAAGATGGATCGATGGACAAATCGATGGACGGAGGGACGGATGGATGGACGAGATGATGTTGGCTGTTTAGACTGCGGAATCGTGTGGAGATTGTAAGATTGAAGCTTCCAGCGTTTCAGCGTGTGCAGTTGCCTTGTCCCGACCGAGGGTTTCGGAACCGCTGATGCTGCGAGACATCTAAACTAAGCAGCTCGAAAGCCTTACGCCTTCAGCTTTCAGCCGGGATCCTTGTTGGATGCCCGTGAAATGCGGTTTTATTGTAGCCTCGGCGCAACATCCGGGGTTGCCCGCAGAAGGTTGAGGGTTCAGCGATCCGGGATCGGGAGTTCGAGTTGAGGCTTGCGAGCTGGGAGTTTACGCGTTCCCTGCTGTTGGCTGTGTGGAAACTTTTCAATTTTTGGGCAGCATCCATGAGGAGCTTGGAATTCTTAGACCCACACCCTTCTCGCAAGTAAAATTCGGGAAAATCCTCCCGGAATCCGAAGGCCCAGAAGGCGCGCACTATCCAGGCAAAGTGTTCCAAGTTTGAAGGCTGCAGGGTCTGGGACGGGAAGCCTCGATGCTACAACTCGGACCCCCAAGCAAGCTGCCTAGAAGACCCTCAGATGGCCAACCCCAGACCTTAGACCCAACCCTGTCGCAAAATGCAGGCACTACCTATTCCGTCCAACCCCAGAGGCAGGGCCTCAAGACAGCGGCTTTGGAACAGGAGTTAGCTAGGTATCCGATTGATTCAGTAGGAGATACGGTTTTTCGGGTTTTAAGAGGACAACCAAGTAACATGATTGGGATGACCAGTCATTTTATGATCATGAACGCTTGTACGAAGCAAAATACATGTTGCGAGTCGGCAGCACTGATCGTCTTGTGACCATCAGGATAACTAGTAATTCTCATAGTGAGTCGTAGCACAAGCAGCAAGAACAACAGCTGACATTGTATAACAGCTGCCACTGGATCCTGATGAGAGCACTGCGGTGCAGGGTCGGCAACAAGCAGCAAGGCAGCTGCTACAAGGAACCCATACTACCCAGCACAGGTGCCTCGGCTGTTTCAAATGTAGCTTCCGCCCTCAAGTACTGTGTCTGCTCTCATCCTCTACTTGCTGCAACCTTCAACCCCTGAGCGCTGCTTCCCTTCGCTGTGGAAAGGCCCCAGCATGAAAGCAACCCCGTCGCCGCCTTTGTCCTCGGTTCGGGTGCCTCTTGCCGGTTAGACCTCGAGGTGTAGTTTGGGGTTCCTTGACATTCGTGTGGGAATCGGGGGAAAGCATGATAGCTCAGACCTCAGGCCCCAATGGAAAGCCTAAGATCCAAACCAGAAACGAACGGAGCTTTGAGATTATGTGGTCCCCGTAACAATTCGAACCCCCGATGTTCAAGCACATGATTTTCGGGAATTTGCTTGTGTGGGCTCCGGGGCTTGGGAGTTTGTGGGTCGCGGCTTTAGGGTTTGGGGTTTTTCAGGCCTGATTCGAAAGGCTTTGGGGCTCCAGGCGTTTAGGTCTGACATATCCTGTTCCCATTGGCAACTTTATGGATTGCTGTTGTTGGTTAGGGCTGGGGGCTGAAACCTGGTGTTGTCTGGCTGTCCGATAGGTATTGGTTCTGTTGGGCTCTGCGGGCATCTGTCTGCTTCTCAAGGTTAAGCTTATGGTTTGTTTGCGGCTTTCCGGTTTCGGTGTCTTTTTCTCCGGATGTGCGGAGCTTAATTCCAAGCCCTGAACCTAGACCCCCTATAGTAAACCCTACTTCAGCTGCACAGAGCTCGTGTCTACACCACCTGGGGCTCAGGCCGTAGCACTGACTCACCCTTCGCCTCGAACCCAAGAGGGCTTGATAAGCAGATACGGGCCCAGGGAGCTTAACTTTAGTGATATTGATTCGAGTTTACATACGAGCCCAGAAGCCCTAAGCTCCTGAATCCTTCATTTTCTCCTTAGCCAAGAAATCCAGAGGCTGGATGATCATCGAAGATTCAAGGGGTTGATTCTACGGTGTCAGACTTAGCGCCAACCTTGCCGAAAGAACCAGATGCCATAGGATCGGATGTCCAGAACTCCGATCCTAAACCTTAGCTATAGCTCCTAAGCGTACCAACAAGGACAGTTGCGCTCGGTGTTCCGACTGTCGGGTTTTGGCCCGACTGGTGCTCTTGATAGTTGATGATAGCTGTACATTTCTATAGATATTATGTGTATATATATATATATATGCGCACATACGTACATACGTGCACAAGCAAAAGTAGATAACCATCTGTTCGTGTGTGTATATACGATATCTATAGATATAATGCATTCTGTAGGCCCTTGCACACTGAGGTTGCCAAATTCCGGATCCCTCCAACTCTGCGGCGTGTAGGAGTGCAGGCTTCGGGCCCGAAAACTTCCGAACATCGCAAAAGCGTGGCAGGTGTCGGATGCCTCTCGGGGATTGTCGCCGGCCTTTGTGCAACCTTCATTTGAGCTGGCAGATGTGGAGGCCTTGCTGCTGCATATCGAACTGAGTGCATACACTGCTTTTCATTCAAGGTTCTTTTGGACGGAGTTTTACAGTAAGAGAGTGCTTGAGCCTCTCTGTTGTGTGATGCCTTGAAGTTGGCGTGGTTCTGCTCGGAGAAGCCAAGGCTCACTGCATGCTTCCGAACGCGAACCAGCCTATGCGCGTGGGCAAGAAAACTCACTTCCGATTGGGGATAAGGCGTTGCTACACAAGCGGACGACAGAATGAGAGACCTTTGCTTGGCAGTGGTGGTAGTCGCACTAACCACTCAGTGCGAACGGTACATGCAGTGTCACAGCCACGCATGTCCAGGGGCCCTGCCCAGTTTCTAGGAAGCCTAGAAGTATTTAATCGGGATGATGTTCAGCCCGATGATGCTTTAGAAGCTTCTGCTGGAAGCCAGGAGGATAGCGGTCAGTTGTCCTGGTTGCAGTCCCTGATGTGTTTTGCTTCAGCTTCTTATCTCAAGACCTGCAAAAAGCGATTTGACGGTAGCTCATTCTCCCTGCCATGGCATTTTTGGTGCTGCTAGGTCTCCTTGCCGTTGCCAGCGCCGAGGAGATGAACAACGCTTTGGACACCGATAACGAGTGCTTCGGCGATGAAGCCTGTGCTTTTAATGCGCTGCAGGTTCATGGCACGCAGAGTTTTGATGAGCAGTTGATTGAGGCGAGCAAGGAGAGTCAACAGCGGTGTGTGTGTGTGTGTATGTGTGTACGTACTGTCTGACTGTCTGTCTGTCTGTC